GAAATGGTGGGTCTACCGAAGGAGTGTCGGTGCNAAAGCTGTGGTCCATGCAACCTCAACCAGGTCTGAAATTCCGGTGTGCCTGCTGCGCCACCTACGTAGGAAGATCCGAGCACATAAACTGGGTTCTACTCAAGATCACACGGCCGGTTATTAACATGGCCCCCAAATTTTTAAACTCCGAGCTGGTCACTTGCTAAACATCTGTTAATGTTAATGAAGAATTAAATTGTTTCATATGAGTAACACTTACAGCAAACCTGAATTGATTGGAATTGCCGATCGCAATTGTAATCAATCATCACGACGAGACTGCATCCTGACGTGATGTGATGGCTTGTGCATCTCTCTGACCCAAGGAGCTACACAGAATGGCTTTTGTCAAGCTGAAGATTTAATCATGCCTGGAAGGTCGAAGGGTAGAGGTCAGACGAAGTCCATTCTCCTGGTCCTCCAGGTTGGGGGTTCGACTAGAATTTGCGTTTCAGTCGGTAAAAAATGGTGAAGGAGTAATTGATCCAAGTAAATGGGTCTCCACTTCGCGCGGTCTGATGAGTTCTGTGCGCTTCGTCCTAACACCTTCGATAACGTACTTCTGCTAGGCGGCATAAGCATAGTCTCAATTCAAACGCCTAAAAAGCTCATGTGTTTAGACGTGACAAATTTTCGTAAGAATGCGCCATCATAATCCTTCTAACACCGAGCCCACGGTTATACCATCATCCACATCGATAATATTGCTTTAGAGGCCGAAAATCATGGATGACATCTAAGATTATTTGAACAATACGTGAGAAAGTCTTCTCACTGTAATCTGCTCTTGTTTGGCCCGCGTGTGCGTGTATCTTCGCACGTGGACCATCCAGTTTATTTCGCTCCAAAATAACGAAAATCAGAGGTTATGGTTTTGCAGTCATCGCTCAAACTTTTGTTTGTGGAATCACGTCTCATTGAGCAATGTCACACTCGGTTGCGAATCCGTGCCCGAGGGAGGTCAACGTTAAGGCCACACCAGCATCGGCTCCTACGGCGGTGGCAGTTATCGACAGACTCCCGCTGTTCGCGTGCACTTGACTTGGTTTGTTCTTTTCGTTCACACCTGGAACTGATGAGTGATCATCTGATCAAGTTGTTTATTGTTCTCGCGGCAGCTGTGCAGACTCGTAAATGCTAGACTGCGTGGGAGTTTCGAGCTCGGCTTTTGTTGTGAACCGTAGCACGTGGTGTTGTCGGAATATGGAGAGCTGGACGTGAATGCATTAGAGCAAATAATAAAATGAACGAAAGGTCACGGCTAGGTCAGCTGCCATTTGAGATAGTCACAGACCTAGTTTCATTTGATACTCTTTTATAAAGGATGCTATTTACAGTAGCATGGTTGACAGAAACTCATTACAAGCTGAATTACCGAAGCGCACATTTCTCGTTTTCCGTTCTGGGTTTCAAATTATCCTATATCCATTTGTTACGGACATTGAAGAAAATAGCAAAAGGATTTTTTTTTCTTGTATTGATCACTCGGATTCATTTCGACNGCCTATTCGCAATGATTTTCAACACTGTGAATTGAGCGAGGAACTTAGAAGTGTTGCTTTTTGCTATATGTCAATAGTGATTGTGCCTCAATCTTTTTTAGTAATACACTAACCGCGTTCTACTTTCTCATCGAAGCTTATCCCAATATAGACGCATGTATTGGCGATTGAAAAAGCTATCATATGAGAGAGTTTTAGCTTCATCCTCGATCAGTTCAGTCAGTCTACTCCTCCTGAAAAATTCGTTTNTCGTTTATCATAAAAGGTGAATCAAATAATATATTGCGGTAATTCGTTGACGGTTATGTCGATGCATCTATCCTTTGAGAAAGGAGCCATCACCTCGGTGTCACTTTTTCAACAAAACTTGTCTATTTCGGACCTTGTAAAACTGGAATACTCATTTAAACGAATCAGTATAAACAAAAGTATCTTTTAGCGGTGATTCTGGATCCGAATGAAGTTGGATTACTCCTGTGCGCTTTTGACCATTTGAAACATCCATGTTCTCCGTTTGCTATCAAGGCATACTTATTCGACCGCGTCCGGAGTACATCAGATACCTGCCAAATTCACTTCCGAATCGTAAGAATAAACGCTTGAACATCTTCAGTGAAGAGTATTCGAGATTACCACGCATTCTAATACCTCCGTATTCTATGAGCTGTGACCGTATATGAAATGTTCATTACAACGCCTAACCTAACGAGGTTCGCCACTCCATGTCCCGGGGCTTCGGTTACCAGTTTCCATCGCTGAACAGTAGCAGGTCCTCGTGACTATGGGACTTTCTCCGTCTGCTCTTCATCACATTAAGGTGTGTTATACACTAAACAAATAGTTCACTAATTAGTTGCATCGTACCCGAACTTAGCTTAGCTAATTCAATTATCGATACGCTTACGGAGAAGTATTAGACTTGAGTTTTATCTTTGTCAGAGCTCATCAGTGGTGCATATACATCCAAAAGCCTCATTATGGTCGGAAGGGGTGTGTCTAAGGTTGCGGCTGGTCACCCTTTCCTTGCATCTCGTGAAATTCTCCCATTAGACTAAGCGTCCCGAATAACCTCTGCTGAAGAAGCCCTACCTCACTGCCTTCTCGTGACGGAGGTGTTTTACAACCAAAGTGAGAGGACGAAGAGCCGACATCCGAGGCTATAACGGGTTTGGTGGACCACTGGTAGTTCACCTAGGGGAGTTGGCTAAAAACCCTGATTCCAAACCAACCATGAGGAGGCGTACGAACCACACACACAGCTCCCTGGTTGTGGCGGTGGTCACCGGCTCGATTGGACACCACGGTGTATTGGGCACCCTGGACGTTTGACCCCGTCCAAAGGGCGAATAATCCGATGAAGTGGACACCGGCCCCCAATGGATTGTGGTTTTCACACACCGCCACGATACTTTGTGAGTGAGGCTTTGGCTAGTCGAAGGCTCTGCGTTCGTTCTCTAAGCAAATTCACCTGCATTAGCCTGGGCAACCTGGCAGTATGCCGTTCACCTCTAAATCATGGAACGTCTTTCTTTTTGAGGAAGACTTATTGTACCATGAGTTGCCTGGCACACAGTCTGGCCACAGAGGTGTGTGAAAATGTATGTAATACCCGAGTAGCATTATTCACCAAGTCCCAAACTTACTACGGTACGTTGCTTGAAGCTTGTTCTCCTCGTCCGCCTATATCGATGGTGTAACGTAAATGTTTCGAGTAGACAGTGTTCTTTACCGAGTGACATAGTGGTTTGAAAGATCTTTGGTAGTTACATCATGACCTGACGCGAAAATGTGAAAACCTTAACCAAATGACTTGTAGGGCTCTAGGCTCTTTAATGGAAGAATTCGTAACATGGAGTGATACGGCCTCGCCTGCAGTGTGATGGACGTTTGGTGTCTTGGATTAGGAGTGATCATTCTTCGATTCCACCTCGCGAACGCTCCCATACGACCAAGTCTATCAAATGTTGAGGAAGCTCTATTCATTGCATCACGTAGCGACTGTGTTCCCCACAGATATGCGAGAATGAAAATCACTGGTAGATCACCTAGAGCAATGGAAACAAAAATTCTCATTCCAAATCAGCCAGAAGTAGGACTGAAAACAATAAACATACATTCCTTATTTAACACCGATCCCACTCTGATTGGACTATGTAATTTGGACGTCTGACCCCTTCCGAAAGGTGTGCGATCCAGTGACGGATTGCGGTTTTCACATACAGCCTCCTTCGCTGCCCTGCGGGGCTCACATTTTCGTTAGGCGGATACTATAGTTGTGGAGTCCTTTGAAAGTTCATTCCACTCACGAACACGGGCTGCTTCTGTTTGTAACAAAAATAGTGCCGTTAACTCAGTCCGGACTCAAACACTTGAGTTTTTTTAATATTTTTCCGATACACAATTTTTGTGTGATGAACAGCGTAAGAGGTAACCCGCAATGATTATGAAGACCTGGTGTTCAGTCATGGTGACCGGCAACCTAAGCCGCAGTACTTGTGTTAAAATTACAAAGGGCGGTGTCCGGTGGAGGATAGTTGTTTATTTCGAATAACGATCAGCGTGTCGGCAAATTGTCATTCATACAACAAAATATGTCATTTGGAAGGAGTCTGTAGAATTCCTACACGCACACGGGATAGCTGATGAAAAGGTCCAGTATTATATGTGCATTCTTGTATTCACAATACCGAAAAGCAGCAGTTTGCTCCAACAGGTCTTGTTCATTTTTGGCCGTTGAAAGAAACCGCCGTCCGCATCTTTTTGTGAACTACTCACAAGTTAGTAGTATTTCACAACATTTGGAGTAGCAAACCACATATGTATGTTAAGTCCTCATGTGAAATGTAATAATAATATTGCTAATGACACGGTTGAATACCGTAACCAGGAGCGAGGCGTTCGTGCATCTACCCGCGTTCCGCGCACACGCAATTATTCGCCCCCACCTCCTCTGTCTGTATTTTCATCTTGCTACTGCCTCCAGCCTTTTTCACCTTCAAGTCATTCGTTCGTTAGTCGACTAAATGGGTAGGGATGTAGGACAGCAATCATCTTGTGGTAGTTCCCTACTTCGAAAAAGTCTTGTATAAATTAGTGCGTTGAGAACACGAATTTAGAGACGAAGAATTCTTTTCATTGATTCATCTTCTGGCCTGTACAGATCAAATAGGAAAATGGTATTTTGGCAATCGCCGTCCAACTGTATGCAACATTTACAAAAATGAATGAAACTAAACAGAACCGTTTGGTCAACAGTGAATGCGTTCTGTTTGTGGGTTCGAATCCTCTTCCCAGTCGCATTCAAATGTCAACAATGCNCCCCCCCCCCCCCAGTGAGCTTCGTTCTGAAATCATCACTCTATTTGTTAGTCTTACACAACTATAATTTTACTCCGGTTGCCGTGATTTGCCCTCTAACTAATCAAACGTTTGTTCTTCACTGTTTAATCCGCTTTATGTATCTGTATGCAATTACCCGATGCCATTCGCTTTGTCAGACGATTACGAGACGTGTGTGATCGGCTCAGAAAATCTCGGGGCACGGTGGCCATTATCGGCGGCGGATTTCTGGGCAGTGAACTGGCTGTCAGTTTGGTGAAAAACCACAACCAACCCGACGCATCCGGTCTCCACACAATGGAAAGCGAATTCCCCGTGCTCAAAGTGTTACACGTGTTTCGTGAATCTGCCCCACTCGGTCAGGTGCTTCCCCCGTGTCTGGCCGCGGCCACTGGTCGTTATGAGGCCAGTTGCGGTGCGGAACTATTCCCCTCATCAGAGGTAGTGAGTGTCAGCACCGTGCCCAGTGCAACACCAACTCCACTACCTGAGAGTGAGACGACAGGCAAACCCACATTTGCCAATCCGTTGCATACGGTCGCAGCCAGTGATGTGCCATCATCACCACAGCGCATTTGTCTGCGTATTCGACGGAATGAGCCTGGTAGAGAAGGTGTGGAGGAAATTGTAGTGGATCATGTGGTGTGTGTGGTAAGTGATTTTTTCTATGGTTTCCACATCCTGAGGATTGTTCCATCTGCCACCAGTTCACTGTGAAATCCATGCCGGCCGTTTGTTTGTACATTATTTGCATAGTTCTAATCACAATTTAGGACAATTTTGTGCTATTTAACTTCACTATCTAACATGCTGAGCACTCCGGATATTTGTAAAATCGAAAGGTCGTGACTATGATGATTGAGCTGAATGTCAAAATTTACGTTACTTCGTTTAAAGCGAGCTGGAATACGTTATTCTCAGATGACTTTCTCCTATGCAATCAAGAATCAGCCGCTTTCGTGCATAGAACCGCATTGAATCCTCAGTGGATAATACAAATTAGCATTCCCAGTACTACTTAAACTTCGCGTATACGACAGTAGCCTTTGCATAGTTGAGCTGTACCTGCCGGACACCAGGCTGATGGTGATAACTGTGTATAGTAGAGAGTGGCACATGTCACGATGCCACATAGGCATCGCTTTCCTACCGAACAACCTGTCCGACCCTCAGGGGCGATTGCTAATAGTCCGCGAACATTAATTTACGGCTCACAGTCGAAATAAACGTCTTTGTATCCGCTACCCAAATACTCATCCGATTGGTGTACAGATCCAAATATAACTGCGTGAAATCCCCAAACTGATATATAGTTTCAAAGCCCGGATTTCCTCCAGAGGACCTTATTCATGTTTGACCAGTCTGTGGGCTTGTATCTCGCTCTGAGCAGTTGTATCGAGCTGAACGACAGCGAATCTGTCACCCATTGAGGTTGGATGGCGTTGGTGGATCTCCTACCTCAAACCCTAGTGCCAAAGCACGTCATTCACAGCGACTTAAACCACCTGACCACCACCACCAACACTTAAGTTCTAACCTGTATAACACCAGATTACATTACACATCCTCATCTGTGTAGCCCATAGTTGAACGCCATGTGGCTTTGAGTTAGCATCTTTTGTTGGAGACCTTAATAACGTTCGCTAATGATCTCATACAGTAGTGTGTGACAACGGTGTTACAATTAATTTATTTTTCCGGACCGAAACAACTTTCTTGTTCATCTAATTCCAATGATTGACAAATCGAATCCTAAACTGATAGTATGCTCGGTCTTGATCAACCCACTACCAACTCTCTTAAGGTGAACATCTAGTGTTTCTGGAATTTAGTTTTTCTTTTGTGATTGCATGCTATTCATTCTTCCATTGTTCCATTGTTTCTACTCAACTCTTTCACACAGGTCGGCATCGAACCGAACACAGATTTGGCCGCTTCCGCCGGTCTCGAAGTGGATCCCGTACATGGCGGATTTCTTGTGAACGCGGAATTGGAAACACGAGCTGGCGTGTATGTGGCTGGCGATGCTGCATCCTATTGGGATCCGGTCCTGGGGTTCAGACGTCGTGTAGAACATTTGAACTTTGCCGAGGAAACCGGTCAATTGGCTGGAAAAAATATGGCCGCTTCCTTGCAACCATCCGGGGTCGATTCAACATCCATACAACGTTATCATTATCAGTCATCCTTGTGGTCATCGCTCGGTCCAAATCTCAGTTGGGACGCGGTTGGCAATGTGGACGCTAGACGTTTGGAGACACGATCATTTTTCCTCGCTGAGTCACCCGCGGTGAAATCAGATGATCAATCGTCCTCTGCTCCGGCACCAGACGCGCTACAATCCATTCCCGCATCGGATTTCGGGAGACTTGGACGTGGTGTAGTGTTCTACTTGACCCCGAAAGAGAAACGCTTGGTTGGTGTTCTGTTGTGGAATCTGCCAGATGAGTTGTATACGGATGAGAAATATGCTGCTCCCGGCCGACTGAATTTGGCTCGTAGCCTGCTCGCACAACGTCGGCTAATTGGACAGAATCCGGAATTCCGTTCCGCCGAGGATGAACTTCGTGATCTCGCGTCCCAATTCGATTTGGGCGGTGAATTGGAACGAGACTATGCCGAACTGAAAGCCTATATGGAAGCGCAAATGAAAGATTCACAGGAGGATCCGTTGTCGAAGTCAGACAACCCGGTCGCGGAGCAAACCTCACCGAGTGCCGATTCTTGAGTCCACACACACACACACACACACACACACACACACACACACACACACACACGGACCGCGTTTGAAAAACCGGATCGTTTTTCCAACCAGCCGTTGTACTGCATTACGCAATACGTTTGCCACTTGTTGCCGGAGACTTTATTCCACTTGCTTACGCCTGAGCGGATTTCCTTTTGTATAGTCTCTTCCCTTTCTTTTGATCCCTGTGACGCATATACAAATAGAACTAGTTTTACACTGATCGAATTCGTCTTCTTTTATCCATTCATCGCGAACCACGTCATCTGGTTGGTTTGTCAGAGGTTTTTTGGTTCTATCTGTTTGACTCGGTCACATTTGATGGAAGCAGCAGTCAGTAATATCGGTGTGAATCGGGTTTCTCCGCGTTTTTAGTCGGTAGCCACGTTTCTCTTTCATCAGATCTCCATACCGGATGTGATTGGCTATTCCCAAGGTTGGATCTAAGTCTATTGATTATTCTTATTGTCCAGTGGGACCTGGTGATTTTGTAGTTCCTTCTGCAGCCTTTGGACTATATTGTTACGTGTAATTATGGGACGTCATTGTCGCTTTAGGTAGTCGCCGGTTCAACACATTTGTGTGTTCAGTTAAACAACCAGTACCGAGCGAATGACCATGCTCTCGTTCGATACGTTTTGTCAAGACATGTGGTCGCACGGAGTTTTTTTCCCTGATTTTTGAAGGGATTGTTTGTTTTTACTCTAACGGTCATTGTGCGCAGAAGAATTTGGACTTGCAAAGCGGTTGTGAAATTCAAATCTCATGAACTGAACCGTATCCGGTTGTTTTGTGACTGATCACTGCTCTTCCTTCGATCACCTAGGGATCTGTCACGGTTCATGACATTTGGTGATATTCTGTGACATTACTATCCATTCCTAGAAACTCAGTAGGAAAGGAACGCTCAGTATTGTGGCAAATTTGCTGTATCGTGTTAAGCCAAAAATCTTTAGTGGTGGTGACGCAGTGATGTAGTCGGTGTCACTGGCGTGTTTTGGACCCTATCGTCCGAGGTTCGAGCCCCACCACCGCCGCTCGACTGTGATGGTAGGTAGCTTTTCTGTGACCCGGTTCTATTCCACGCGTGACCTTATTTGGTTCGCCACTCCAAGACGCAGACGTACCGGTACCAAGCAGCACCACTCAGGTGAGGACAGGCCATTTATTTTCTGACTTACATTTTCTATTTCCCGTGAACGGGGGTTCACATTGATGTTCTGTTCGTATTAGGGGTCTCATGCAAGCTGCATTTGTGTAAGACCAATTGTTCTTTTACTACCGGTCTTGCCCTAGATCAACAAATATGTGTGCCTACGAAGGAAGATCTCAGTTTACAATATAGTTACGAGTGTGTTCCCTGTGGTGGGTTCGTTTGAAAGTTTTAGTTTTAATCAAATTCGAGGGAGATGAGGTAAAATATGGACATCAGACGCTTTGTCTCCACGAAAACTTCTCACTATGTCAGACGACGTCAATGCTACTGGGTACCCCGGTCTAAGTGTCCGGTCTTATGGCACCGAGTGAGATATCAGTCAGAATTGTCAAAAACGACGGTATGTTCAAACTGGTCACACACGGTTATTTGTTTTTTTCTTCATTCCATATTCCGCTTACCAGTTCCAATGAGTTCAGTCGCGGATGGATCTACGATCCATATCGCTAATCCGACTGAGGAAACGGAATCGAACGAATCCGGTCTAAAACTCAGAGTGAGTTTTGTTGTTGTGTTTATCCTGGCTAGTGCTTATTATGTTCGCCGGCTCTTTGCGAGTGTTGATCAATTCGTCCACCGTTTGATTAGCTCTCAATTGCCACGGATTTCTAGCTAGTTATCATTCGTTTAGTCTTACTTTATTAGTCTTCTGTTGCATGATGATACATTTGTTCCGATCGTATACTAGGTTGGAAGTCGCTGATTGAATGACCCCAATTGAATTCAATTATTTTGCGTTTGTATTTCCGCGATTGTGACAATAATTCCCATACCATATAAAACCTTGACTCTTTGGCATTGTATTTGTTTGTATATTCTCTTACTTTTGTCATACACGTTATTGTTGTCATATATACTTCACACGCGTTTGAGGCCAGACTGTATGCCAAACAAATCACGGGACAATAATCTTCAGAATAAGAGAAAGTTTCCATAATTTTCATGTGGACGAAATACTGTCAGGTTGCCCAGACTAAGGTATGTGACTTTTCTCGAGCCTATGGCTAGCTTGACCCGCAAGAATTTGGGGCGGTGTGCGAAAACCGCAATCCTTTGAGGACCGGTGTCCAGTTCGTCGAATTAAACGCCCTTTGGACGGGGTCAAATGTCCAAGTTGTCCAATATATCTCGAGCCGGTGACCACTACCACGACCAGGAAGGTGTTTGGTTCGTACGCCTCCTCTTGGTTGGTTTGGAATAATGGTTTTTGGCCAACTCCCATAGAGGAACTGTCAGTGGTTCACCAACCCGATTATAGCCTCGGATGTCGGCTTTTCGTTTCCTCAGTTTGGTGAGAGAACACCACTACGAGAAGGCAGTGAGTATAGCTTCCTCAGCCGCAGTTACAAGAGATGCTTGGTAATATAGGAGAATTCGCGAGATGCACAGGAGGGGTGACCAGTCGCAACCCGAGATACCTGTCCATACTGAGCCTTTCGAAGGCATGTAGCTGATCTTTAGGTTCACAACCGAGGGTCCTATTGCGAAATATAAGGGCCGCTGACCACATGGCCAAGGTTTTCATACACTCATGCCAGACCATGATCTGATCGCCCATCGACTTCTTCTCTAACTACTGTCCGCTACGGTAACTAGTACATATCGAGAAAGCCTGTTCGATGGAACACCTAACCGTATGCGTTGTCATTAACTGTAAATTAGAAATGAAACTGGTGTCCTCATCTTGTATTGAGCAAATTTACTAGTTCAGAATACCAATAGCCGCGAAATAACGACTTGTTAGCGTCCGTATTTCGATTTACTAAGGGATTTATCATGATATCTTGGAAAGAACTCACACAAAGCCTATGTTTCATTGAGTATCAGTAGTCGAAAAGATGGTAACGCCCTTTTTTCTATTTCTACCTCCACTGTTTCCCGCCAGATTAACAAATGGTTCGCAGTTTCCGCTTGGAAGTGGTGTACCAATGATGATGACTGTGGAATCTGTCGCAATCCGTTTGAGACATGCTGCGCGGACTGTAAAGTCCCCGGGGATGATTGTCCTCTCGTGTGGGGTCAGTGTAACCATTGCTATCACATGCATTGTATCATCAAGTGGTTGAACAGTCAGCAAGTTGCCCAGCACTGCCCACTCTGTCGTCAGGACTGGCGTTTTCGCGAATAGGGCTGTTTCGACGTCT